GAGCAGCTGGATACGAACAGTTGGAATTTGCGCAGCTCATTTACACCCTTTTCATGAAGATAGATGAGTTTGTTGAATCTGATGTGACATGTTCATATGAACCCTTTGTACGAACAAAAGTAAGAGAAATTTAGGATAAGAATACGAACATGTTCTTGCATGAGGCCCAATGAGAGAAAAGAAGTTCTACTTTTTTCATGTGACAGGCATTATCTTTGATTTAACAAATGCATAAACATTCTTAGTTAAATGACAAATGAATCATGAACAATGGAGATTATTCTGTCCATTATCTGATTAAGAGGAAGAGGTTCTCTTCCACGGTTAGAATGACTTGTCATGGTCTAAATAGAGTTCAGAGTGGAACAGAGTTTCTGTTTTCTTAAAGGCCCGTCCGAAGCCTGTTTTAGAGGCAGAAATTCTTGTTTCCTCACCCGAGGTGGCCCCTACAGGTCGTGTTAACACTTGTTTACAGTCTGCTGCTGCTCAGCATCGTCTGCTAAATGAGGACAACAGAAGTTGGGAGAAAACGGCAACATCCACTTTGGGATTTCTTTGAATATGACTGCGAGAAAAATAAAACAAGTGTCTTGTAGTGGAAACAGGTGATACAACAGGTGGAATACTTCTCAAGGGAAAAACAGCATGAATCAAGCTCACACAAGATGACTAACAATGATTAGCTTGACACGCTAGCTTCTCTCAGTAGCTCCCATGAAAAACAATCAACAGGTAGCACCAGGTTGGAGACAACTGTTGTCATCGTCCTAAAATAATCACCCAAATCCTTAGGTAGCAAAACTGAGTTACGCAATTATTTTAGGAAGGTATCTCTATAATGGACTGCTTTAACTAGCGACCAAAATAGCTGTTGGTTAGTTAACTCACAGGAACATCACAAGCTGGAGGTTACATTGGCAAATAAGATATAAAAAAATCAAATACTAGAAGTAATAAAAACTAAACTAAACTAAAATTAAGCATTAAAAATGCAATAATAACTAATAAAAATGAGCAAATCCACTGTAAAAACTAATTAAAACTAACTGATTTAAAAGAAAAACGTCACAATGAAATAAAACTAAACTATAATGAAAAAATCCACAGTAAAAACTAATTAAAACTAACTGATTTAAAAGAAAAACGTCACAATGAAATAAAACTAAACTATAATGAAAAATCCAAAACTTTTTGAACCTTGGGAACTACATGAGGGTACTGATTAGTAGTTGGATTAAGTTTGGGAATCAAAGGGTCAAAGGTCAAGGTCATTTATAATGATTGGTAATAGTAAACTGCCATTTTTTTCTAATTCCTCGACAGTACAAATAAAATAYCTGGTTGATGTGGTAAATATCAAAGAGGAGGTCATGTTTACACATTGTTGAGTTACATACTTCTTAGAATATTCAGTTCCAAAAAAAAGAGGTAAAAAGTGCGTGACTCTAGGGCAGGCCGAGGCACCTTGTTAAATAYGAACTAAAAATGTAAACTCTAAATCTTTAGTGTGACGTTCCAAACTGTTCYACAACAGTAAGTCATGAACATTTGAACCGACTCTCAAAGTGCTCATTAACTCGTTTTCATGCCAGTTTTTTGCTGCAAACATCCTTTATCAGTCATTAGCCTTGATTTACCATTTTTGCCTCAATTACAGCTCCACCACCGGATCCTATGRTGATCAAAAAGCTMATWTTTYATCATTTTAATTTACAGTTAAAACTGCTCCACCACGTCGCCTGACAGGTGGGCCGAAGAAAGACAAGTTGTGCTTGGAATGGGAAGCCCCTCTRCTGTCTCTGTCCAACCATGATCTRCAATATGAAGTCAACGTTCAGATCAGAGGAGGAGAACAGTGGAGTGTAAGTTGCTTAAAAATGACTGTTCTTCAGTAAAACTAAAATAAACTAGCTGCTTATAGCATCACAGTTCCAGTATAAGAAGTGAAGGAAAAATACTCAATAATAAATTTATACTTGGTATAAAAATATGTTCAAAGGAATTAAACACAGTGAAAAAAAATGTATATGTAAATCATTTATCAAATACATTTAGTTTGATCAAATCCACTTAAAACTATGAGGTCATCACAAACACAGAAAGTTAAATAGAAGACCAGAACGTTACATTTATTTTTAAACATAAAAATGATGTGCATTATTAATGATTTTGTATGATATTCATTAATTGGCCAATATTTTTGATTCAATACATTTTTCTGATGCTAAAAATGTAAATTTANAATTAAAACTAACTGAATTAAAAGAAAAAAGTCACAACGAAATAAAACTAAACTATAATGAAAAATCCAAAACAATTTTAACCTTGAACAGAATGTTTCAGAGTTGAAGATGTTGAGGTTCTTCTTGGCAGAGACAAGGGTGGAGAAGATTAGGAATGAGATCATCAGAGGTACAGAGCAGGCTGAAACACTGGGAGATAAAGTTAGAGACACCAGACTGAGACAGTTGAGGAGGGACGGTGGGTATTTTAGTAAAAGGATGTTAGAGCTGTCAGGAAAAAAAACACAGCGGATGTCGTTAGAGAAGACATGGAGGTAGCTGGGTTGAGGACAAAGTGAGATGGAGGAGGAGGAGTCACTGTAGTGACCTCTGAGGAGGGGAGGGAGTGTGTCTAACAGTTTAATGAGTTAATTAAATGTTCATATAAAAGTTGTAATAAAACAATGTTTTCTTTGCTTCCAGCGGCTCTTCCTTCAGCCATCCTCACACTGAGGTTCAAACCTTACCACAGAGGGATCCACTGCGATGACGAGAGCATCAGCTACCCCTACAGGAGAGACACCATCACACATGGCACCATGGCTGCAGTCACCATCACCTGCTCCTTAGTCATTGTGAGTCTCTTAGTCTTGTTTCTGAGACGAGCACCAACACCACATCTAACAAAATGCTGCAAAAATTTCATTTTTTTTCTCCCTTTGTCTCGTTAACAGATCACTACAGGAGAGGCCTACCTGGTGCACACGAACCGTCTGCGCTCCAACTCCCAGTTCAACCAGTACCTGAGTGCTCTCTACAAGGTGGTCGGGACCTTTCTGTTCGGAGCCGCTGTCAGCACGTCGCTCACTGACTTGGCAAAGTTCTCAATCGGTCGTCCTCGTCCAAATTTCTTGTCTGTGTGCGCCCCGGTGAGCTGCAACGGATACATGCTGCAGATCAACTGCACGGGAAAACCTCGCAACGTGACCGAGTCCAGGTGGGCGAGCACATAATGCGAAAACGACACGTTTATACACGCAATCTAAACCTGTCATTGTTTATATAGTTATTTTGTCTCAGTAGTAAAGAAACGTGGAGACTAAGCTCAGAATATTTGAACATCCACCAGTGAAAGGCGCATGTGGACGAAAATGTTCCTTCCTGTATGTGCACATCTGTGTTTTTATGGATCAGACTGTTAGCAAAATATCTCATTAACCAGTGGATGGGTTTTATTGAAACGTTCACAATTCAATCAAGAGGTATATTTACAGCTGAAATACTTTTAGACAAAATCAAGAAGATCAATAGAAATATTCTTAATTTACAGTCTGCTTCATTTACCAGAAATTACATCCTAAATAAACACGAGTTTAGATTAGTTTTGTGTGGGCAGTGAACGTTTAAATACAAATAAAAGTACAAACAGGAACAGATTTTTATATTATCTAGTTGTCAGTAAGCATTTCCAAGCACTTTGTCCAACTAAATAGCGACATATTTAGTGTTTGTTTAAATCTATGTACTTGTAATTTCTTAGCTTTATATAAAACAGTGTTCTTTTTGGCTGTGAAGCTGTTTAGAAGTGATACAGTGAATTAGTTAGGTTAGTTGTTAGTTACTTCTGCAATGATGTCTGTTCTAACCTAAATTTACATCTTGCATTAAATAAAATAAAAAAAAATCAATATAATCTGTTTGATCTGCTCTTCGGTCATAAGTTGTCATTTGTTTACAAAAGGTGATCTGTATCAAAAGCAGATTTTTAAGCCTTATTTTTAGTTATTAACCAGAATCTCTCATTTGTTGTCCGCAGGTTGTCGTTTTACTCTGGCCACTCATCCTTTGGGATGTATTGTATGCTCTTTCTGTCGGTGAGTGCTTGTTCCATGACACTGTGCAGCTGTGAACCAGCTGTTTACCAAAAACACATGAAATTAAGCCAAAACAGGAGAAGCTGGTCAGGACAGACTTATTAAAAGCACCATTGTTGTAATGCTTTACATTGTACAGTGAGAGGAAGGTGACGCAATAAATGCGTGTAAAAAATTAGCAAGCCATTCCATATGAACAAATAATATCTTACCTGCTGTAGATGTCTTTGAGCAGCTTCAATATTGAAAAAAACTGTTCCTCCTTGTCATATTTTTTAATCTAAAACTCTGACATAAAGTTTTACCAGTTTTATTAAATAGCTTCAATCCACTCAGATTAGCTTGTTAAATTTATATCTTTCCTCATAACTTCACACAGAATAATCTGACCCTTCATATTAAGCACCAACTGACATGGATTTACTTTAAAGGGAACTCTGATTAGTTGTAACATCAGACATTATTTGATAAACATGTTCTTCAGCTATAAAATTAGGCTGTAAAATACTGTAGGCTGTTTAGTTATTATAAATCTCCAAACTACCATTTTTATCAAAAATCCTTGAAAAGGTGGTAGCTGAACAATTGATTTGCTTTTTGGAGGAAAATGACATTATGGACATTTTTCAGTCTGATTTCGCAAATTACACTCTACAGAAACAGCTTTATTAAAAGTTTCAAGTGACTTGTTGACAGCTTGTTGCAGCTGACACTGGAAACTACACTGTGCTGGTTTTATTGGACTTAACTTCAACTTTTGACACTGTGGATCACTCTGTTCTTATCAACAGACAGAGATAATTTTGGTATTTCTGGCTCTGTGTTAAACTGGTTCACCTCTTATTTATCTGAACGGTCTTTTACTGATTTTATGAACCAGGTTTACTCTGATGTTGCACCGCTGTCTTGTGGGGTACCCCAAGGTTCAGTTTTGGGTCCAATCCTCTTTTTATTGTACCTGTACCTTTTTAGGAGGTATTTTAAAATGTTCCAGTAATGTGTCCTACCATCTKTATGCTGATGACATACAGTTGTACTGTTCTTTTAGACCCTCTGAGTTCTTCAAACTATCTGAACT